ATGAGAGATTTATGATTATGGATTTCAAATCACTGACATTGCACAAGAAAGTTGCTATCCTTGTGATTATGATGGGACTTGGTGATGAGAAGATGAACAAAGAAAGAAAGAATATACGCGGTTTGAATAATAGTTTGGGAAATGAAATATTCATGTTTGTATACATAGTTTGAATAATAATTTGGGTGAAAAAGATAATTACACTTGTATGGTTTGAAGAACATTAAGATTTGTTAAGTGAAACAATAAGTTATTTTTTAACAAAAGTAAACTGTAAATGTCATTTTTCTCGTTGTGATGAGAAGAACAAAGAAAGAACATACATAGTTGTGGCAAAAGGGATAGCCAGCCGTGTGGCCCGTGTCATTGAAATAACAATAAAAAAAGGTCAATCCCTGCTTGAATCAACGTACAATGGGACACCCCAGCAGGCTCATTAATGGCTATACCGGTCCAATATCTTCATCATATTTCTTTTCCCCATGTTTTGTTCACTTCAATTTTCTTTCATCCAATAATTTATGTTCAATTTTGCAGATGAATATGCTGAACAAGATAGTTAGCGTTGACAGTCTGACTAGTGTTTATTTTGAGCTACATTTTGTGTTTTAATGCTCTTTGTTTGTTCATGTTTACTATTGAATTAGATGTTTTTATATGCTTTCTATGCAGGGTAATTATTTCTGAAAAATGTGCTTAAAAATCCTTAAAACTGCACTTTTTATTTTGGAATTAAGACTAGATCAGTGGGCATGAAATGTTGACGTGGCAGTGAGTCAACAACTTGTAGAACGTCCAGTCAACAGCGTCTAGTTAGCGGCTTCTAGAAGATAGATGGACGGTTGGAGCATTTCAAGCAATTTAAAATTCAAGTTTTTAGGATCTTTCCTTTTATTTTTAAGATTTAAATTCAAATAATTATCTTTTGTATTTTGAGTGCATTTCTAGGCCTTTAAAAGGCTATAAATACCCTCCAAAGGTAAGTCTTAATCATCATTCATTTAATTATAAAATATTTATTTGTTGTTATTTCTTTCTTTCCGTTTTATAAAATTTTTATTTTTCTTTACTTTTTTTTTAAGCTTTGTTTTCAAATTGTTACGTATGACTTTGGTCATGCTTAGTTAATTTTTTTTTAAGTCGAGGGCTAAGCGATGATTCAATTCTAACATGAGAATTAAAAAACACTAAAGTAACTTCTGATACATTTCTCATTTCTCTGTGCTTATTTAAAATCAAACCAATTTTCAAAACCAAAGATAGTCGATGGTCGGAATGTTGTTACGATTAAACATGTGGGAGGAAAGATTAACTAATTGATAGCAATGGACTTCCCGGGAACACAATTAGCAAATTGTTGCTAAAGTGGGAATTGAGATCAAAAATGGTTTTGATTGGAACAACCATCCGAGTCAATTTTATGCACTTTAATGGTTCCTGATCTACAACAATTAATGTTTGATTAGATCAATTTCCAAATTCGAGATTGAGGAATTACGTTTGGGTATTCGGTATACAACTTAGTCACAAGAATCTGTCTTTGTAGACAAAATAACCGACGTGAATCCCAAAAGATAAATCTATTTCGATAATCCAAAGAATTTTAGTCAGAGCGAATGCCCAAGGCTGATTTAATCCATTAATTTTTCAAGGTTTTACTTCTGTTAATTTCCTTTCTTTTCTTTACAATCTTTCTTTAAATTTCATTTTTCTTATATTTTATTTCTCTTCAACCACAACCCCCATTTCATTTTCTTTCACTCCAAGGTCCTAAATCAAAAATCAAAAAATTCATCTATCTCCTTAGTTCTTGTGGGTTCGACCCTACTTCTCATATACTATATTAAATTTTTTTATTTTCAAGAAGAATGAATTTATTTTGATGCAAAAAACGATTATGTCACCGTCAATGGATAAGCAAATGTAGTTTGCGTGGACAGACAATTGATGAACAGATGTATTAAATTACCATTTAAATGAATAGTTGAAGATCATAAGATCTCTTCTTAAATTCATGTTTTAGTAAAATTATAAATGAATGAAACTCACATGATATGGTTGACTCACGAGATATGCTTGGGCAAGGAGTAAAGAGTTCTCTTTCATGATAATTATGATTTAAGTACTAATCATGTCGTCCCATTCATGATGATCTTACTATTAGGCACCAACTTTCCCTTTATTTTTGTTTATCAGCACCCTCTCGGTTGGTACTTGCCTAGTTTCATTGCTGAGAGATGAAGCAAAAACCCTATATAGGCTTTGGGCCATGGGCAGCACTTGCTGTTAGTCAAATCCCATATCCACTGCTACAAAATTTGAGGGACAGGAATGCTCGACTGCGACCCGAAAGGGGATGGATTAAAGTATCAACTTTCAGGCAGCTAGACAAAGCACAAGTCGCGTCCACATTATATAATACAAGAGGCACACGTTTTCTTAATATATTGGATGGTTAAAAGTCGGCAGATAGTGGATCCAATTCATTATTTCTATAGTCGGATTTATGGCTTTGGAAAACAGGGAACAAAAGGGTACGAATTTGGGGCACTGAGCTGAGAACAATTGATCAACTTGATCTCATTGAAAGAAATGACCCTTAAAAGTGACAAATTTCAATTCTTTTTTCGGTCTTCAAGTTCTTATTACTGCTACAGGGACAGCTCTTTATACATATGCAAAGAGTCGGTGACAAGAAATCCATTTACTTTTGTCTACTTTTATGGTCCCTACGCGTTTAAGCAAAATGCCAGTCTCTTTCTTATGTAAGCCTTAGCAAACAATATTCAAAGTATAAAAAAAAAACACCAATCCATGGTTTTCCGGAAATGCTGAACTGTAGTCCACACTGATCTTCACCTATAAATAAACTGAAAACCCCCATCTTTCTTCGCCCAAACCAAAAATGGCTCACTCGTTTTGGTTACTTTTCCTTCTCCTTTCTTCTGCTACTGCCTGTGATCAATGTGTGCACCAATCCAAGGCTGCTTATTTCTCCTCGGACTCTCCACTTTCATGTAACTATGATAACTAAGACTCGTTTTCTCAGTTTAAAAATTAAAACTGGGGAAGACCCGAATAACAGTTTTGTGAAAAATTTGGTGGGTAACATTTATTTTTCTGGTTTGATTATTTGCAGCCGGAGCTTGTGGTTATGGCTCGTTGGCATTAAGTCTTGGAGGTGGACGCCTTGCAGCTGGTGTTTCTTCCCTTTTCAAACAAGGAGCTGGTTGTGGTGCTTGCTTTCAGGTTTTTATTACTACTTTTTACTTCTTCTTCAACATCGTTGCCGGGGGATTTGAGTTTTGGTTTTGTAACATGTTTTTATTGCAGATAAGATGTAAGGATCCGAAACTGTGCAGCAGTAGAGGGACTAAGGTGACACTAACTGATCTCAATCGCAATAAGCAAACGGACTTTGTTCTTAGCAGCAGAGCTTTCATGGCCATGGCTAACCAGGGCATGGCCCGAGAAGTTTTGAAACTTGGGGTTGTGGACGTGGAATATAAAAGGTGAGCTTCATTCAAACATTAAATAATGGAAACAATCCAAAAAAAAATGAAAAATTTTGTTCCAACGACCTCATAGAAAAGTCAAGCCCTGCATGGACCAAGTTAACATATTGTAAGACACCCCTGCAGGCTCATTAATGGCTACAACGTCCCAAAATCTTCCATTAAATTCCTTCTTCTTTGACCCAATAACCAATGTTCAACTGATGAATATGTGAAAACAGGATACCTTGCGAGTACAAAAACCAGAACCTAGCTGTTAGAGTTGAAGAATCAAGCCAAAAGCCTCATTACTTGGCAATCAAATTGTTGTACCAAGGTGGTCAAACAGAGGTTGTTGCCATTGATGTAGCTCAGGTGGGGTCTTCAAACTGGAGTTTCATGAGTAGGAACTATGGGGCAGTTTGGGATACAAGCAAAGTCCCAGATGGTGCATTGCAGTTCAGATTTGTGGTAACATCTGGGTACGATGGGAAGTGGATTTGGGCAAAGAGTGTGCTCCCAGCTGACTGGAAAACTGGAGTTGTTTATGATTCCGGAGTTCAAATCACTGATATTGCACAAGAAGGTTGCTCTCCTTGTGATGCTGGCAACTGGAGATGAGAAGATTAGCTTGGATATATGAAATTATGAATGCAAATGATATAATAAAACTATATTTATCATGTAATTATTTATAAATATTCTTTGAGAAAAATGAATAAAATTTGTGATCATGAATACTGTTGGGAAATCCCATAGGCAAAGAAAATAACTTCACTGATGAACCCTAATAGTGAAAAGTTTCTTTATTATATTCTTGGAGGAAGAAGAGAAAAAGATGTTCCCAATTTAAAAATATTTGTTCTGTGGAAAACGAAGCTATAAGGAATGTCTTATTGCTTTAGAACTTGATTTTCCACCAAAGAAAAAGAATGGTTTTTTTCTCTCTATTATTTGAAAAATAGTGAGAGTGGAATCGAGCAAAGCAGTAGGAAAATGGCATTTGAAGAAGAGTAATTAGTACATAAAGTATTAGTGAAGTAATACATCAAGGCACTTAATAAAGTTAAGCATATGACATTTTTCGATTCATTAAGGTCTCTTAAATAATACTTCAAATTTAAATTTTGGTTTTGTTAATAGAACAAATTAAATTTAAAGATTCGAGATGTTTGCGCTACAAAGTTTGTATGCAAAATTATTTCGGCGCGAGTGTCGGTGGTTCCCATGTTGGTCTTGCCATGTTTTGGTTGTCCGATGTTGATCTGCCCCTGCAATCTTATTCTCCCTCTAAAAGCTCCGGGTCCGGATGGTTTCCATGCTTCGTTCTACCTTAATTATCGGAAAGATGTGGGAGAGGTTCTGCCAAGACATTTTGCATGGACATGCAGATATATCTGCCATCAACCAGACAACCATTGCCTTTATTCCCAAAATAGGGAATGCTTCTGCATTTACGGATTTCCGCCCCATAATATAATCTATATAAGATCATTTCCTAAGCTTTAGTTAATCTACAAACCGCATCTTTCTTCGTCCAAACCAAAAATGGCTCACTCGCTTTGGTTATTTTTCCTTCTCCTTTCTTCTGCTACTGCTTGTGATCGATGCGTGCAGCAATCTAAGGCTGCTTATTTCTCTTCAGACTCTCCACTTCCATGTAATTATGATAACTCAGACTCGTTTTCTCTCTTTAGCAATCAAAACTGGCAAAGACCCAGATCATAGTTTTGTGGAAATTTTTGGGGGTAACATTTGTTTTTCTGGTTTGATTATTTGCAGCCGGAGCTTGTGGGTATGGTTCCTTGGCATTAAATCTTAGCGGTGGAAGCCTTGCAGCCGGTGTTTCTTCCCTTTACAAACTCGGAGCTGGTTGTGGTGCTTGCTTTCAGGTTTGTATTACTGCTTTTGACGACTTCTTCAACAATGTTTCTTGTAGATTTGAGTTTTGGTTTTGTAACATTTTTTTTATTGCAGATAAGATGCAAGGACCCAAAACTGTGCAGCAGTAGAGGAACTAATGTGACACTAACTGATCTCAATTACAATAACCAAACTGATATTGTTCTTAGCAACAGCGCTTTCACGGCCATGGCTAACCAGGGCATGGCCCAAGACGTTTTGAAACTTGGGATAGTGGACGTCGAGTATAAAAGGTGAGCTTCATTCAAACATTAAATAATCGGAAAAAATCCCAAAAAAATAATGAAATTTTTTATATTTTGATGTACTTTATCATAATATCTTCTACTAAATTCCTTTTTCTGTGACCCAATAAACAATGTTCAACTGATGAATATGTGAAAACAGGGTACCTTGCGAGTACAAAAACCAGAACCTAGCTGTTAGAGTTGAAGAATCAAGCCAAAAGCCTAATTACTTGGTAATCAAATTGTTGTACCAAGGTGGTCAAACAGAGGTTGTTTCCATTGATGTAGCTCAGGTGGGGTCTTCGAACTGGAATGCCATGGCTAGGAACTCGGGGGCAGTTTGGGATACAAGCAGATTCCCAGATGGTGCATTGCAGTTCAGATTTATGGTAACATCTGGGCATGAAGGGAAGTGGGTTTGGGCAAAGACTGCGCTTCCAGCTGACTGGAAAAATGGACTTGTTTATGATACCGGACTTCAAATCACAGACATTGCACAAGAAGCTTGCACTCCTTGTGATGATGGCAACTGGACATGACAAGTTTAGCTTCGATATATGAATGCAAATGTAATAATAAAACTATATATATATATATATATATATATATATCATGTAATTATTTATAAGTATTCTTTACAGAGAAAAGGAATAAAAATTTGATGTTCATGAAAAAAATAATGTGTTTAGAAACTAATCCATGTTTATGTCTTACTTTATTAGTATAATATTATTACAAGTGAAGACGAAAAAGTTTGAAGTTATAATAAGAATTAATTTTACATTTAAATTTCACAAATGTTTAATTTTATTTTGTAAAAAACCATATATTATATTAACTTTTCAAATGTCTTATGCTTTGGAACTTGATTTTTCACCAAATAAAAAGAAGTATTTTTTGTCATGTGGAATCGAGCAAGGCAGTAGGAAAATGACATTTGAAGAAGAGTAATTAGTGCATAAAGTATTAGTAAAGTACTGCATACATATGGCCCTAATTAAAGTTAAGCATAAAATCCTTTGAATCCGTTATTTTAATGTAATTAGATCTATTAAATAATGTTTAGAATTCGAAGTTTGTAATTACTCACATTATATGTCTTTATCATATTCAATATGAGGACTTTATCTTATTCAATTTAGATTTGATTGTAAAACACCATGAACACAATAATACAACACGACACTTCGTTGATAAATGATTTTATCAAAAAAACAAATATGCTATATCAGAGGTGATTGCAATCGTGTATCAAAATGAGAGAACAAATTCAAAAACTCAGAATAGAGAAAGATGAATAAAATAAATGATTAATCACCGAATGAAAAGTAGATAACAAATCCAATTACGAGAGAGAAAAATACACAAATAGAATTAAAACGTATCATAAGTGAAAAAAATATAATTATAATTTTTATAGGAAATTAAAAAGGTTTATTAGTCATTTGGAAATTAAAATGTATGAGAAATTGATTTAATTAAAATTTTGATGTCATCTCTACATCATGAATTAGCCCTTCTGGATGTTGGTGGTCAATTTTCAAGGGTCATCGTCATTCCTCGTTCAAAGTCCTTAATGCAAAGAAAGATATACTTTAATTGATTGTACCCAATATATTGCTTTGGTTACATGTGAATATGGTATTGGTTTCTATAATTAGAATTAGTCAATTCATATTATTTTACATTCATGGTTACTAAAGTTGCAGTAAAATTTTATTTTAGCCCTCAAAATTTTAAATGTCAGGTGGTGCGACCGTGTGTTTCCGTACCATCAGTGACCTATTTATAAGAAAAGTTGGTACGTGAAATTTCTGGGAAATTGCAGCGAAAGCTGCCTTCGTTTGCTCCCAACTATTTATTAGTCTCATCTTCTTATTTTATAAAAATGGTTTAATGCATTTCTGACCCTTGACCTTGTGAAAAATTATTTTAATCCTTCGATTCTATTTGCTCCTCCTGATCAAATTATTCAATTGGTGAAAAAAATATTAGACTTGTTAAACTGAGGTTAGTTGTATTGTCTTTTTGTATTAGATATTTATCCGTTCGAGCATAAAAATACATAAAATTCTTCAAAAATGATAAAAAATCTAAATAATTATATTTAAATTATTAAAAATAAAATTTAAATGTAAAAGTAAAAATAATTAACTTTAACTCCACATATTAGTTATTACTTTTTAATTTTTTATTAATCTGGGATAAGTATAAAACAATATATGCTCAAAGGCAACTCTCAACCTCTTGACATTGAATATTCACGCTCTTATATTCTTAATGCTCGAACTCGAGTATTCAAAGAATGACAATAATTTTTTTACTACGTATGCTACTTGATTCGTGCTTCAAACTAAAATATAGTTTCATCAAATTCTTTTGTCCGCATAGACCACAACAATAGTGAAGTGTTATAGCAAAAAGTAGTATGTAGGAGACAATTTATGCTAAGAACGCGGCGTTGCTCTTTTCATTTTCAATTGACACAACTTGGACAAAAAGAAGCAAATATGAAAGTCTTTATTTATATATTTATTTTATAAAAGAAATTGATTGATCCACCACTAATTAGCTTAATTCTAAGTATACATTTAATTAATTAATTATTTTCGACATTAATTGTTTGAGTTTTGAGATAGTGATAAATAGGGTGTTCAAAACCGGGTACCCTGTTTCTCGGGTATCCAAAATTTTTGGGTAATAAAATGTTGGACTGTGTCCCGGCCCATGACATTCGGGTATACGTAAAATTCAGGTACCTGTGTTTTCGGGTCACATGTACTCAATTCATAATTTTTTTCTTTAAATTATATTATTTTTTTAATATATAATTCTAAAATTTAAAATTTAAAGTTCTATAATATATAATTCACACATAAAACTCAAAATTCAAATTACATAATTGAAAAAAATTATTAAACAATAAAATAAAAAATATAATCAAATTTCAAGTGTTTCGAAGTTAAAATAAATATTTTAAAAAATAATTTAGAATGTTAATGTGAAATAATTTAAGAAATTAAAAATTTAGAATGTTATGGTAGCAAAATTTAAGAAATTAGGAATTTATAATGTTAGAGTGAAACAATTTGAAAATTATAAATAAACATTTAATATAAAAAAATACATTTAATAAATCATGTAGCGGGTCGGCGGGTACCCGATTAAATAATATTTTGTGACCCGCCCTACCCGAAAACCCAAAAAATTAACGGGTTTGATACCCATGCCGGAAAATCAAGTATTTTCAAAATAAATACTTGATATTTTTTACCAGGTCGGCAGATAGTCGTGTCGAGTCGATCGGGTCGGATATTTTTGAACACAACTAGTGATAAGTAAACACATTTAGTTGAGTGGCCAAAGTGTTTATCGTTATTTCTTCATATTTCTTTATCCACCAAGAGCATTCCCATTCTTTCCCCTAAAGTTTTCTCTTTCTCCTCCGAGTAAAACTAGGAAATCTACAATTCATCAAAAAATTTGAGATAATGATTTGCTTATTAGTTTTCTCAATCATGTTTAAGATTTAATCCCATTTTAGTAGGAGATAATTGCATAAAATATTTTCAAATCATGATTCTAATTTTAAATTAATTCTTAAATTTTAAAGTATTTTACATTGATTCTTAAATTATGACTCTTATTCAAACACAATTCCTAAATTTTAAAATATTCTACATCAGTCATCAAACTATTAATATCATTAATTTTGATCCTTCAGTTAATGTGTCGTTTTATTTGTGATTAGTGTTTAAATTATTCATTATTTTGTGATTAATTACTCATTGATTAGATAATTTTAGTTAATAACTTGGGCCTTTTCATTCATTTTCGATGTAGGACATTGAATTCCAGAAATCATGTTAAGAACAACGAAATCGTGCAATTTTTGATTTTTCTGGATTCATGACTGGATTAGTGGGCACGACACACCCGACATGGCATCCAGTCAGCTAATGATGTGGCAGTTGATGTGGCGATGAACTGGCAGGTGACGTGGCACCCAGTCAATAGCTTCTATAAGATCCAATCAGCACTGGCGTGGAGAAGGAGCCGAATTTTCGATTTTAATTTAGGATTTATCTTATTTTTATTTTTTGGAATTATCTTTTGTTTTGAATATTATTTTCTAGGGTTTTTTAGGACTATAAATACCCCATTAAGGTAAGCCTCAAAACATATTCAACTCATCACTTGAGCATTCAATCATTTTCAAACTCTCTTGTTTCTTTCTTTCTTTAGATTTATAAAAGTTTTTCTTTCTTTTTATTTTTCAAGTTACTTTATTTTTCTTTCAAAATGTTAAGTATGGTTTCTACCATGCTTAGCTAAGTTTTCTATAGCCAAGGGCTAAAGCAATGACTCGATTCTATGTCGTGAATCGAAAAGAGCTTCATACCCTCAAGAGTTACATTTTCATTTTTCAGAAATCAATGGTCAATAATCAATCATCCTTTTACAATCAAAGTGATTTCATTTCAAAAAGTGCATGTGATAATTGAATTTCAGTTTCAATTAATTGTTGGGAGGAAGAACCGGCATGTGGAACATTCGACTTCATGCGAACACACTTAGCGGCAGTCCGCTAAGGGAAACTGAAATTGGGTTAGATTCTCAATTGAGACGATAGAATCCAAGTCGGGTTTTTCCAAAATTTAAAATCGTTGAATTAATAAGCGATTCTTATTAACTCACAAAGAGTTGAGATCTGAAAATTAGTTTTAGATTCTCGATTCTTTTGAGAGAAAAACAAGTTATAGGGGTTGAGCCCTGTAGACTGTAACCGACATGAACCCGAAGGTAAATTCTATTCGATGATCGATTTAAATCGAGGCAAAAGCTTTAGCCCAAGGCTGTTTTCTACCAATTGAATTTTACCATTTTATTTTATTTCAATCAATTTTATTACTTCACTTTAATTCTCTAAAATTCCCCCTCTAATTTCTTTTACAAATCACACCTGAAGCCATATCAAAAGCGAGGAAATCGTCAAACTTCTAATCCCTGTAGATCGACCCTTACTCTCACTATTCTACTTATTCTTATTTATTATTGAGATTAAGGCTATTTATTTTGACATAATAATGACTCGTGTCAATCTGCTAGTTAGAAATATTCTATTTTTGAAGATTATGAGAATTTAACTTGTGATCTTCTAAAAAAAATTCTCTTGACTTCCAAAAATATATTAATATATTTTTTGAAGTTTATAAGTACAATTCTTTTGACCTTAAGGAGGCGTTTGTTTTATAAAATGTAAGATTACATTTGAGAATAACATTACTGGAATGTAACATTATTATAGGAATGTTATATCACATTGTTTGGTTTGTTTAGCAGGAATGTAAAATTATAGTGTTTGGTTAGAGGAATATAAGATTACTTGACTGTATATTTTACAAAATTATCCTTGTGGTTTATGTTTTTAAAAAAAATTAAACTTTAACATTAAATTATAAATATTTGAATGAAAATTCATAGAAATATTTTAATCGTTATATTATCTAACTTTTGAGAAAAAATATATTTAATTTATAATTAGTGTATTAAACTTATATTTTTAAATAATTTTTATAAGCATCATGTTTATTTATATAAAATATAATATAATACGAAAAAATATGATAGTCTCGAGTAGACAATGATATTATTTTTCAATGTATAAGATCTATTTTTCAATTAACATAAAGTTTGGGATTATTTTAAATAATTATATTTTTATAATCATATTATTTTTTACCACATAAAATTATAAATAATTAATATTTGAATATTAAAAATATAAAATAAATTTAAATACTCAAATTTATTAATATTTTACTAAATTCAACTCTTTTGTATATTATTATTATATTTATAATTTTGAGTAATGTAAAAAAATAAAAATTGAAAAGGTTATTATAAAAAAATTCATTAGTCTAGGGGCATTTTTGTCTAAAGTGGTGGGAATCGTCTAATACCTAAAATTTTGGATGTAATGACATTCCCACTATTTTAATCAAAAAATGCTACTATTGAGAAAAAATTATTCACTGGTAATAATCTTTTTCATGAACCAAATGTGAGAATGTAATTTCGCAATAAAAAATTCCCCTTAGTAATATTATTTTCCGCGAACCTAATGTCCCCTAAAAAAAATAGATTAATTTGTAGGTTATGGGTATAGTCCCCCAGACTTTTAAAAACAAGTTAATTGGTTATTTACACATTAATGAAATGATTACAGTTTAATAATATTGATATTTGAGAATTGATATAAAATATCTTAAAATTAATTTAAAATGAGAATTATAATATAAAGAGAATGATATAAAATATTTTTCAGTTTAGTGATTAATTTAAAATATATTTCATGATTTGAAGACATCTTATTCAACTAACACTTATTATTGAGTGGAGTCAAGTCAACAGTATAGTAATACTTTAACACGCCCAACCGCATGGTATCTGATTTCCCTCAATTATATAGTATAAATCTCTGGAATTACGGCTTGACCTCTTCAAATTTCGATGATTTAATTAGATTTTATATCTGAGTCGTATTATATACTTCCTTTGTCCCATAAAAATTTTCTATTATTAATTTTTAGATTAATTTTTTTAAATTTTAATTAATTATTATTTATAATTTATAATTAATAAAAAATATAAAAATATATTTTAAAAATCTTAAAACAAGTAGTTTTTAAATATATATTATTAATTTTTTAGGTTAAATTTTTTAAATTTTGACGCAAAATTAAATCAAATAGATTAAGAATATGCTCTCATATTAAACCTAAAAATATATATTTTTTTCTAAAATTTAACTAAAATAAAATAGTATAGATTATACGAACTTAAATGAACGTTGGGTATTGATTTATATTTAATTTATGTATATTTAGATATTTTTTTCATATAATTAAAGGATGTAAGACCTCTTATATATCTAGATGTATGGAACATAAATATCCAACACACAGTAGCCAATACGACCAATTCCAAGAAAGCTAAATTACAAATGCTGGAAAGGACTAAGATGACCAGCTGAGTGATTTGGGTTCCATTGTTCAAAGATGAAATGTATGGCGCTCGAAGTTTACTTTGAAAACAAACGTTGTTTGTTAGCAAACCCCTGGAATTTCCAAGCAAAGTGAGAGAGAAAAGGCGGGTCAAGCAAAGACAATAAATCAATACGCAACATTTTATATTTGAAAATACGAATTTAAATTTATAAAATTTCAAGAATAAAAAACAGATTTTTAATATAAAATATATAAATAAATTTAAAATTATATGATAATTTTAAATTTTTAAGAGATCGATTACGCTGTATGTTTTCTCGATCTATCCCTATCGATAATGTGCTAATAGCGCGTGGGTTCCACTACTAAAGAAAACAATACCTCGCAGTCTCATTTCTTGCAGGTCTCTCCCCTGACTTTTCTTTTTCCCAACAATATTTGTTTTGGTAAAATTCTACAAAAGGTGCCTATACTATACGGTTTTGAGAGATGTAGCCTAATACCAACTCTTTCCCGTTAATTCTATGACGATTTGAACTGTATCACATTATTTTTTAAACTTGTGACGACTTGAGTTTGCTATCGTTTTTATTCGTTGTTGTCATCGTATAGCATAATAGTATAAAAATAGTAAGTATACATTTCACATCAATACATGTTTTAGAAAAATAAATCATGAAATGTTTTAATGGAATTCAGAGAAAAAAATGTCTCTAGAATTGAAAATAGATATTTCAAAAGGTAGATGATTAAAAAAGATCAAATCATAATAAATGAACAAAACCATCAAAAACATATAGTACAGGGACCTTTTATACAGTTTGACCAATTGTTTGTTGATGACTTGGTAAATGCTTCCTGTTTATCCCTGTTTATCCCTGTCAGAAACATGTATAAATAAGCAAATGTTCATCGACCAAACATTGTGTGTTTAGCATTCAGCAAGCATTTTTTTATAAGTTTCCATCTTATTTTCTTCGATTATATATATAGGATCAGTATACGCAATTAACCACAATGAGCAGCCAGTCCAGTATGGATGATAACACCTCAAAGATTGAACTTCCAGGCTTCCGGTTCCATCCAACAGAAGAGGAACTCCTCCAATTTTACCTCAAAAACATGATTTACGACTGCAAGTTCCAGTACGATGTAATCGGATTCCTCAACATCTATCGCCATGATCCCTGGGACTTGCCTGGTACGTGTATACATACCTAAATACACACACACACACATACATATATAGTCAAATAATAACAATCTTGTTTTCTTTATAGGGTTGTCGAAGATTGGAGAGAGGGAATGGTACTTCTTTGTGCCGAGAGATAGGAAGCATGGAAGTGGTGGGAGGCCGAATAGGACTACCGAAAACGGGTTCTGGAAAGCCACAGGCTCCGACCGGAAAATCGTGAGTTTATCCGAACCGAAACGCATTATCGGCCTGAAAAAGACTCTCGTGTTCTATAAAGGGAGAGCTCCACGAGGAAGCAAGACTGATTGGGTGATGAACGAGTACCGTCTCCCTGATGGTTGCCCCCTGCCCAAGGTATACTATACAGTATACACCTTTCTCATTTTCAAGTCTGAAACTAAAAGTAGAGGGACTCAATTTCAAACTTTCAAAGAGTACAGGGACTGGAGTCATATTTTACACCTATGAAACTCATTAGTAACTAAAAAGGCTCGACTTTTGACTCCAATACTTAATATTTCATTAATTATTTCATGCCAAACTTTCTGAATAAAATCATATGGAGACTGTGCAGGATGTAGTGTTGTGCAAGGTGTACAGGAAGGCAACATCATTGAAAATTCTTGAGCAAAGGGCAGCAGAGGAAGAAATGAAGTTAATGAATAACACCAACATATCTCCATCATCATCATCATCCATGGAAACAATTTCATTTTGCAGCCCAAAAGAGGATTTGGTGCCATCAATGGCGGCACCCCAAATGTTCTTCAAGAAAGAAATCGAAGAAGAAGCAATGGAAGAAGAGAAAGTATCAGAGAAGAGACTGTCTTCTGTATCTCTGCAACTTCCATTAGGCAGTGAGAAATTACCAGAGCTTCAAATGCCCAAAATGCTTAGCGACTGGACACAGGATCAATTTTGGGCTCAGTTGAACAGTCCCTGGTTCCAGAATCTCACAACTTATGGCAACATCTTGAATTTCTAGTGGCTAAATCACTTTACAAAAATGCTTTAAGTCTAAGACTAAGAGGACGAGGACCCATGTTTTTACAGCTTTCAAGCTTTGAGAAGCCTTTGCTGGTTTTGTTAATGAAAACTTTTTGCATATATGTTTACATATGACTAATTTGTCTGATGTAACTTTTGGTGTTTTGGTGATTTGTATAATAATCATATTCAATACTTATCCATTCTATCAATTCAATCCTGATTTAAAACGATTCAACTAAGTTAACCCTTCAAGATTTAAATTATGAAAGATTTTTCGTGACATAAATTAAATTGATTTCAATTTTAGGGACATGTCATCAACAAATTCTTTCCCGAAATTTCTCTGATTGTAGCAGTCAAGATAGTCTCCATAGCTAACTCCAAACATGTCACAGTACCTCTTGTAGAACCCGATCCGATCCTCCCCTGCCGTATTCCGTCCCCGACCACATTGACCGCCATTGATGATATTTGTGATCAATCCATACCCCGGAAGCCGACCGGCTGCCTCGTCCCTAGACAAAGGCATCCATGCTCCGACGATCACATCGTGACACGAAGGCTTTATCCATTGCGGTGTCATCCAGAACCATAACGCAGACCGGAAGGACAACGTGGCATCGGTTAGTAGCAGGTCGGGGTTTTCTAACAGCTGCTTTTGCTGCCCTATGGATGCTCCAAATTTCCCATAGTTGTAGTTCCTAGAAAATTAAACATGTTTATTTCAGTGTCAACAAAAGCAAACAATTGGTGGAAGGTGATGTTTGGTTACCAAGAAAGTTGAATGGGACCTCGACCGTAGTATTTCTGACCAAGAGCACATGGGAACTGTTGATTTCTCCGGTCGCAATAATCTGATTTAGGCTTTATTTCCTTATTGTAGCAGTATCCCCATGCATATGGACCACCGGGTGCGTTCCACCCTAGTCCACCTAAAACCATCAAATCATTCAAGTCTACAAAAAATTTCTAACAATTCTTAATTAACTAAAAGTATGGCCAAAATTTTCAAAGAGAAGACGAACATGGAACAAACCAGTAGTTTCATGGGAGGTTTGGCCGAAGAAAGCAGCAACTTCCCTCATGCGAGTGGCATCATCGCCGGTGGTAGCAAAAGCAGGAAACGACTTTGCGGCGGCCACGAAAGCTTCATAGGTGTAGAAGCCAGCGGCAGGGCAACGCGTATCGTTTCTATTATGAAGCATCTCCTCAAACATTTCCCTCGTTAAAATACTGCCGAGTTTATGGCGGCCGCCGCAACCGCCAGCAGCAGTGTCACCGTTGTTGCAGTTACATCGGCAACCATTTTTATTGAGGCAGTAATCATTAGTGGCGCCACCGTATCGCCATTGGGATATTGGACACACGACACTACCAGGTTGGTTTTCACCCTGCTTGGCTGAGCCTGGGAGTACAAAAGATGAGAACGAAGAGGAAAATGACAAGGCCAGAGCTCTCATTTTTCAAAAATGGAAATGGATTCCGGTCAGTTGAGTGAGTGAGTGAGTGAAGAAGGCGACAACACTAATTATACCCTTTTAAATGATTCAAACTGACAGTTGTACATTTCATCTACCAAAAGTTAATGCGGGCGGCCATAGCTATTCAAATTTTAGATTCTCGCACTTTAGATCCTATTCAAGTTTTTAAAATTTTAAAAATAAGATTTTTCATGTTTGGGATAAAACCGAATATATTGTAAAAGTTACACAGTTGAAACTTGCAATGTACGGGTGATAATCGGGTGGAGAAAAATAAAAAATTGTTGAGATTTGAATCGATGAGGATGGAGAATAATTGAAATCTTTCACCTATAAGAATGGGAATAAGAGAAGTTTTATCACCAAAGCTTAAATAAGTATAGAGACTGTGATTACTACATCCGAATCGTGATGATAACTGAATTGTATCAGTGTGAATAAATGTGGAGATCCCCGAAAAATAAGCGTAGGGATCCTTTATATTTTACAAAAATAACCGTGGGAATCCTTGAAAAATATATGTGAGATTATGTGTTGCTACTGTTACATCTCAAAGAAACTAAAATTGAAGTTTAAATCTTTTCTCATTTAATATACATTGATTTGTTTAGAATAAAAATTGTCAAGATTGTACATATACATTAGGTGTTAGATGAATATTAACATTTGAATCTTTCATATTATAAATAGAGATCAATTTAAGATAATATGATATATCTTACAAATTTTAGGTATTGCATTGATTTCAAAAATATTTATTTATTTTTAGGGATGTGGATCAACTAAAACCTGTAATGATTTATAAAGGATAAATATAAAGACATAAAAATCCCCAAAACATATAATAAGAATCTTTCAAAATCATATCTGCAAATATTAGGACAGAATATGTAATGCAAAATCGTCACCGTCCCGACCGTTGCCACTCCTATTATAATGGATACCTTTGCTGATAGCTTATTGTGTAAAGCTATTGTTTTATTTTAATTTGTTAGAGTTAATTTAAATTTTGAGTTTTAACCGAGTTTTGTAATATTTAAATTCAAATGGTTTTATAACAGTTATAATGTCACGTTGAAATATCAAAGTGATAATTAAATTTAATTTTTTTTTTAAAAAATCACATATATTTAAATTTTTTATATCAACATAATCAAATAAATAACAATATAAACGCTTCGTGATAATTTAATATAAACCAAAATAATAACATAATTAATAAAGACGATGGAAGTCTTACGAGGATGGTACTCATAGGGAACAAATCTTAATTTACTAAACAATGAATTAAAACATTTGAACGATAAACTTTATAAATTCAGTAATACATTTTTACTACATACAGTTTATAAATATAAACATGTAAGATAAGAATAAACAAAGAGATATACATGTATCCCCACCAAACACTTGTATCACCTTCGAACAACAAATATCATGCTTATCTGATGTTTGGTTGAGAAAATTAATTACGGTCAAAGAAAAGTGAATTACAGTCAAAAGGAGAGTGAATAGAAATCACGGTAAAACAGCTTACCGAATATTTTTGGCAAGTCATTTTCCTAAAACATGTCACACGCTCGTTCTTTTTCTCCATTTCTTTTGCCTTAGACCAACGCAGCTCATCGTCTCTCCTCACTGGCTCTCTTCCACTCACTGATTCTCTTTCTCTCATCGAATCTTTTTTACTGTCATTGGGACTCCGACGTCTTCAGCAAAGGTATGTTTCACGTGCTTCCTATCATCTAATCTTTTTGCCCTAGAGAGTTGCGAGGTTTTTTAGGATCTAATTTTTCAAGCATGCTTCCTTCATTTCCACCAGTTAATACAATAGACCAACTGGTGTTGCTTTTCATGTCAATCCTCTTTCTTTTTTTTTGGTCATGGAGTGACGCCTAATGGAACGGGAAATTGGACACGATGGATTTATATGGAATAGACTCAAACATGGGTGGGTGGGGAGGTGATGAGCATGATCGTAGGACTAGATAGTCTAGTTATGATGGTGCTTCAGAGTATTGGTACGATGATACAAATCACGAAAAAGGAAGATCAAGCGGTGCTACTCACAAATTTTTTTTTGAGGGTTGATCCATATGTAGAAACGTGATTTCTTAAAACAAGAAGAAAGTTCTGCTTGCATGATAGTGGAGAAGAATAGATTTCACTTTTTGTTTCTTGTATTCTAGAGAATAACTATTAGATAGTATTTGTATGTTAGAACTTGAAAAACATAGTATTTTAATCTCTGTGTATATTTCTTTATGGGATTGGAATCCTAACATCCTACAGTTGAATATCAACAATGGGTTTGTAATTATCCACAAACCATTGTATTCAAGGAAATGCTTACTTGACTTATGATTGTGATGCTTAGTAAATATTGTTGTACATATGATTGTTCATTAGAAACACTCATTCTTGTGATGTTTGTATTCTCGGTGAGAATGAATTTCATCTCCACTTTTACTTCTGTCTTATTGCTTAAGTTCTGGTGAGTTGTGTTAGATAAATTTCTATAATATTCATACTTCTTCCATCTTATATTCATACAGTAATTTTCATATTAATCTTATAATTTATATCTTTTAGACTTTCGTACATTGAGTACAGGAGTAAATATATAGCCCATATGAGCTTTCAAACATGTAGTTACTCGGTAAAAATCAATATGAGATTTGCTATATAAATAAGATCCGAGACTCTCACTATTGTTTATGTTAAACTATGTGTTTTTAGCTTGTGATAAACTATGTTAATCAATATGAAATCATATATATGATATGATTAGGTCCGTAAAAGAGTTGAGTTCGAGTATTGTTGAACTCGACTCGAAAACCGTAAAACTGAGCTCAAATTAAAAATTCACAAACTTAAAATTATCAGGCTCGGCTATAACTTGAAATGAAAAATTGAAGCTTGATTCGACTTGAAAGCTCCTGAGCTTAAAATTCTCAAGCTCCTGAGCTTGAACTCGAAATATTTTCAAACCTAGATCGATTGAAGCCCAAACTCGAGCTCGAACCTGAACTTTAAGTAAAAAAAGTCTTATATTTGTATTTCTTTTATAATAATAACAACATATACATGTTAATATTATTAATAATTTGATTTTAAAATCTAAAAATTTAATATGTTATTTTTTTGAGTTGCTCACGAGCTTTTTGAGTCGAGTATCAAGTAGCTCGCTTCAGCTCGTTAAGAATTCGAGTTAAGTTAGCTTGCTTTGTCTCGTTAAAAGTTTGAGTTAAGTTCAAGCTCGAGTCAAGTCCATTCGATTCAAGAGTTGGTTGAGCTTTAACTAAATTGGTCTCGAGTAACTCATGATTTGTCCCATCTCATTTATAACTCTACATATGATGCTAAATGCTATACGTACACGAGCTTACATAATTGTGCTTAATAATGCTTAATGTTATTTTTACTAGGTAACTACATGTTTGAAAGTTCATATGAAAATATTAAATTATTGGCTTCATAAATATTTTATAAATTAAAATTAATACAATCCTATTTTCTTTTAATCTAAAATATAA